ATCAATGTAGGCCTCTGCAGAGGGACAGAGACCCATGGGAGCTGCCATCAGCTCCCACATTCACAACTTCCCCTTCCAGCATTCATTTTCTCTCATTCCTCAAGTTTTGACGGTTGAACAAGGCACTGTCATGGATAGTGCTTTATCACCAAGCAAATGGGCATCTCACACAAACCATCACACTCACTGATGAGACCCCTGTTTGAGCCAGCTCTTCTCCAGGCTGAACAATCCAGGCTTTCTCAGCCTCTCCTCATAGGAGGATCATTGTGGTGTCCCTTTGTCAGACTCTCTCCAATACATCCATGTCTCTCTTATACTGGAAGCCCAGAACTGGATGCAGCACTCCAAGTACAGCCTCGTCACTGCTGAACAGAGATGAAGGATCACCTCTCTTGACCTGCTAGCTATACCTTGCCTAATGCAGCCCAGAACACCATCAACCTTCTTAAAGGTAAGGGCATGTTGCTGGCTTATGTTCAACTTGGTATTCATCAGGACTATTAAGTCCTTTCCCGCAGAGCTGTTTTCCATCTGGGTGTCCTCAGCATGTACTGGTGCCTCGGGCTGTTCCTCTCCAGGTGTAGAACTTAGCTATTCTTGTTGCACTCCATGAGATTCTTGTTGGCCTCTGTCTCCATGCAAAGAAGATGGAGCCAGGCTTCTGTTAGTGGTGCACAGTGCCAGGACAAAGGGCAATAGGCACAACTTGAAGCACGGGAGGTTCCCTCTGAACCTCAGGAAACATTTCTTTACTGTGCTGGTGGCAGAGCACTGGCACAGGCTGCCCAGAGGCTGTGGGATCTCCTCCTCAGAGATCTTCAGAAGCTGCTTGGATGTGGGCCTGGGCACCCTGCTCTGGTGGCTCTGCTGGGCAGGGGTTGAAGCAAAGGCCCTCCAGGGGTTCCTCCCTGCCTCAGTCATTCTGTGATTCTGTGACAACAGCAAAATACCTCTCTTTAAGCACGCACATTTCAATGCAAGCAGCCAAAAACCGCTTGCCTACACATGCCCCATAAAAAACACTGGTGATCACTGGCCCGATCTGCATGTTGAATAACTATCCAAAAGATAACAAAAAGAATGTACTCAGATTTCCTTGCTGCAAGCCATCATTGGCACAACTCACAGCACCCTCACCTGATACCAGCTCCCCCTGCTTGCTCAGGCAGAACCTGGCCACCCCTGGTGCTGGTGTGCATCTATGTCACTTTGTATTGTCTACATAACACATAAAACAATGTCTCACAAGATTGGTTCTCCTGCAGCTTTTTCTCCAGCAACATTAGGCTATGGCGTTTGAATTGAATATCAGCAAACCACTCGAACACATGGGACGTGCAAGCCTATATTACTTCTATTAAATCTGTAACGTGATCATCTGTGCTCTGCAGAGCCTGCTGAGGTCCTGTGAAGATATTAATAGCTTTGGACAAGGAAGAAGACTGCTGCAATAAAAACATGCAGTCAGTATTTTACAACATGTATGTGGCACAACGCTGACAGCACAAACTGGAAATGGTTGTGGAAGATGTTTGTGGTAAGAACAATGTGTATTTAAAATACATGCTGAAGGAATAACATTGATCTTATAACAATAGCTGACAATATTTCAAGCTGAAGGTGGCATTACTGGAGAAGCACTGTGTGTTGTTTCCTGAGGAGCTCATACAAATCTCTTGAATATAATACCATAAAACTGCAAAAATTAGATATTCACTTGCAATATTCCTCTGGTCTAAGAGCAGTTTTTGCCTGTAATTTGAAGCCTTGTCTGCTTCTTTTTATGCAGCCAGAAAGTCAGTGGTTTGAATGGAGTTGATTAATAAACAACCAAGAATTGATCTCTGGATTTCAGCTGTGTGTCCACTGAACAGAGAACTTGCTACCTCTCTGTCTGAAAGGTCAGACCTGGGTATTATTACTCAAGGACTTTAAATGGAATTTGAGGAGAAAAAAAATGTTTCTTCTGTGGGCTGTAAATTCCCATAAAGTGCCATCAGGCTGAATCCTGCCCTGTTAGACATCTGAATTCCCATAATATGTCACTTAGTGCTATGATGACGCAGGTATGTCCACTCACTGTGCACCCTATCCAACCTTTACTGTTGGGCTTCAAGCAAATCCAAGTGGGGCTGGAATTGTGCATAGATGTCCAAGCTTTCTGAGTGCCTGGAGAGCTAGGTAAAGCAGAGCTGGCCTGAACTGTCAGGCATCTGGAATCCCAGGCAACTACACAAAAAAAGTCTCAAATTCTGCCAAAATAAAAATACCACATGGGAGAGGAAGTTATCTCCAAGAAACCTGAAGTCACGGTAATTCCAGCAAGATATCCCTTTCTGGCAAGGGATGGAAAACCTCCAACCCACAGACTGGAAAGAGATGGTCAGAATAACTTGTCTATACACAATAACGTGCTTTCTGCTGCTTTTTTTTTTTTTTTTTCAGATAAGTTCTTCAGGAGATGGGTAGGGGGGCAGCTGCGGGTAGTAAGAGCTGTTCTGGCAGCAGAAGGAGCATAGAGCTGCCGGCAGAGCCCGGGGCTGGGAGCAGCTGTGGGCAGAGGGGCTGTGCTGTACTCTGCTCCCTGCCCTCTGCTGGAGAACAGTGATGGTGGGAGAAGGAAAACTCGCTGGGTTTTAATGCCTTCTGTGTGCAGTATTAAAACTGTCATCAAAAGATATAAAGCCAGCAGCGTCTGCAAAAATGGGGCATTTCCTGCAGGAATAGATACTTTAAAAACAAACAAACAAACAAACAAACAAACAAATAAAAAAACCCACCTTTTTTAATTTAAGAAAAATACTCTCTGCTTAAATGCAACTGTCGCCTTTCTCCTAATTGAAGTATTTAACAACTGTCTTAGTTATCCTTGACCTAAGAGTTTATGCAGCCTGCTCTGGAACACCTGGTGGATAAATGCTCCAGAGGATAACTGCTGCATTCTCATCATACCTACTCTAGAGACTATTAAAGAAGTCCAAATATCTGATATAATAAATTAGACTTCTTAAAATGTTGCCATTTATGTTTTACATACACATATACATTATCATTTAAGTCTGCACTGCACAAAGTCATACTAGCAATATTCACACTGTGAAGGAAGGCTGCAGAGAACTGCTGTGGATCTCTCTTAAATTTTTTTGCTTTGAAAGTTTGGGACCAATTTCTAGCTTATATACTTTATCATGGCTTTTATTTATGTGAAATGGATTTCTTTAAAAGCAGCCTGAGCAATGCACACAACTGGAACTGAAATCAGCTCCAGGTTTGAAATCAATCCCAGTCACTGGCAAAAATGAAACTATGCTCTGCCTGCCAAAACATTTAGTCTTCCTCTTTTCCTTTCAACTACTACCAAGCATAATCAGGTTTAATAGAGATCTTAAATATACAAGCCATAAAAAACATGCACGCTGTACAGCAAACGAACCACTACCAACAGCGAGTATGGGAGAGCAATCAGAATCTCAATGGTAGCTTTCGTTATTAATCAAGAGCTGAACACATCTGCACAGTGATGTTTTGCTTTGTACTGTCTCTTTTCTTCCCAAAGGGCATATTTTTTTTGAAAAGAGATGTCAAAGAGTCCCACCTCTCTGAGTAGAAAGAACTGAAACTACTTTCAGCTCCAGTTACATTCAGTGGCAGCCTTGGTGCTCACAGAGACCCAGAGTTTTTCATTCTTGCACTCTCCCTTTTCTCCTCACCCATGACCTCTGCTTGCTCCTGGAGGACAGGCAGCTCTCTCACCGCTTTTCCCAAGGGTGCTGTTGTGAGACAACAGAGGGTATTAACCCCTCTTTTCTGCTTTAGTCTATAGGAAATGTCTTTGAGAGGGAACCATTTAAGGCCAGAGAATTAGCTAGACACCATCCCCTTTTCACCTGAGCCCTGTATTTCTGTCATTGGGTAACTGCAGTATCTGTGAAATTGTGAGCTTTGTTTACAAGTGTTTAGCCACATAGCTTTACCTATCTCTCCAAACAGCTACGTAATTAAATTTCCTAGACCTTTTTATAATGAAATATGTATGTGTGTACACACATATCCACATATAGAAAGAACAGCAAACGTCAGGTTTTTTTTGCTTATTAGCAAAGTCAAGCAGTTTGTCTATATTCCAGAGATACTACTATCTGGCCAGTCCCTGGCAAGACTACACAGGTTGTTAGTAAGGCATTCCTCTCCATAAATACCACAGAGTTCCAGCAGTTCTTTGTAACCCCATCACAGTTTCAGTGGGCGCTCACTGTATGGCTGAGATATCCCCAAATACATGCATGCTCTTTGTAGATAATGCATTTTGCTAACATAGTGTGATGCAAAATCAACTGGTTTTGCATACCATGTGATTTTCAAAGTCATAATGCAGACAAAGCAAAAGCAGGCTTCACTGGAGCACTTATCAGTGTGCTTCTCACTGAGGACTGTTCTGTGACAAACATCTTACGCCTACGTTAACAAATCCTGTGGTGCAATAGGAGCAACTCTGTAAAGCAAAGCAATTTGGTACGGTGCTGAGAACCTAGAGTCATCAATGTAAAGACTTCAGTGGTTTTATTTAAGACAATCTCAGTCTTGTTCCTGTGGGCCGAATGGCCATCATTGGCTGGAGCACATCAGAGTGCCCCTTTGCAGAGACTTCAGCAGTTTAACTTCAACCTGAAAATGAACTGAGTTTGTGTACTCTGAGACCACCTGCTGATACAAACCAAAACAAGGTTAAGTGAGGACAACTGGAAGACTTGCTTCCAAAGCATGCTCCAAGTCTAATTAAAACCCTACAGACTACACTCCATCCACAGAATGCCAGAATAATTTTGCAAAGCAAACAGATTTAGCCTTTTTCCCAGATAAAGTTCTGTGCTGGTCTGCTGCATGCTTGGCAAGCTTAGCAAGGGCATGGAGATATTTTGATACACTCTCAGAAGTTTCAACTAGTTGGCATGAAAGTCCAATGGCTTAACACCTGATTAAGTGTGGGTGGACTTTTATGGATGACAAAAGGTAAATTATCTGGAAATGGATAAAGGCAAGAGCTAATTAGCACAATGCAACTTCTACCAGAGCACTAACGGTATGTATGGTTCTTTATCACTGCGTGAAGCTCCTTCATGGAGGATCCCTACCTTCCTGCAGTCATGTGCTGCTTTGATGCTTCCACTGAGGAAGGAGGGGCAGGGAGAAGGCGCTGACACTGAGGGTGAAATACAAGGTGAGAAGCAATGTGGTGGTCTAAGTGAGGGGAGTACATTGCAACAAACTGAAGCTGCTGGGGAATTTCAGGAAATGTGAAATTACTGGCAGAGGCATGATAAAACTACACCAAACCCAGTCAAAACCAGAAGCATCATTTAGTGGTCACAAACAGCCAAGCCCTTAGCTCCATTCACAGTCCCACAGCACTCCATTCAGCAGCACACAACACCTGGGTCACCCATCTCACTGCCAGGTGCTCCACGGCACAGCTGACAGCCTAATAGGCAGCCCAGGCTGCAGGTTCTCACCCCAGCACACATCTGTTCTGCTCCAGCCACCTGCCTCGGGCAGCCAAACCTACAGGAGAAATAGCATTTTGTGAGATGATTCTCAGCAAGCTTAGCTGAAAACTGATTGGAGGAGTGGTGACCCAGCTGGCAGCAGTCACACTGCAAAACCATAGCGCTGCTGGCCATGCTTAAGTGTGACAAAACTCCCAAGCAGCCAGGTGAATCAGGCAGACCACGTTTCATTACAGAGCTGACTAGAGACAACAGTAATTACACACACACGAGACCTATTACCTGACCATCGCCGTCAGATCCATGTAAGGTGCCATGTGCAGTGAGGCAGTCCATTAATTTCCCATTCCGCCGGCAGCCCAGGTGCACCAGATCTCGGCAGTGAGCATGGCATGTGTATTTGCAATCTGCAACACGGAGGCAGACAAAAAGAAGAAAAACAGAAGTGTTTAGAAATGAAGTTGCTGCAGGCTGAAGCCCGGAGTGAGGCACATCCTGATTTACCCTGTGGCCTCCAGGAAATGGTGCACTGCCTCGTCTGAACCTCCCCATAAAAATAGGTACGTATCATGAAGATGGAAAATCACTGGAGCAAAGGAGACAGCCCCAACACGGTCCCAGTAATGCATGTCTCTATGTGGATCAGGGCTGTTCTCATGCATTATTGCAAGAAATCTGTGTCATGCATGATAGCTATTTATTAGCTATTGTAATGCAAGCACATGAGGGTCTGCTCTCAGAAAAGACACAACATTTCTGATTTTCAGATACAAGTTTCTACATAAGTACAACCACTATACAACCACTGTTACATAGCTTTATGCATTTCAAATGAGATGCTCTTGAAAATGCACACAGGAATATTGAAAACCAAGTGAGGAGTTTATCTGAAGCCACAGTTAACCTGCTAAATCAGAAAGCTGCCTTCAGGAACAATTCAAAAATGTCACTTGCTGGCTACCAAAATCAACCGGGATGGACACTAGAAATGTAAATTCATAACAGAGGCAAATGGCCCCATCTCTACCAAGAAAGCAGTCAATTTATTCTGCTTCAGCATCACAAAGAGATGAATCACTTTACTGGAATTTGGTTCTGAAGCCTTGTTGCATCTACTGTTATTATAAGTTGGGCAGAGCTCGTTATACCACCTTTGTCTAGCACTGAATGTCACTCTCTATTTTTAGACTCTGTCTTAAATTGTTTATAATTTTGCCAAAGAGGAACTACTTGTCCTTAAAGTTTCCATGCTGGGGAATATCATGCTGTTTGGTTTAGGACATTTTGGTTAAAACAATTCAGCCATTTCCAAGAATGACTGTTGAAGGAAATGCTTTGATTTTCCCAAAATAAACTACTCATGCAAATACATATTTTTTTTTTTACAAAGCTTTATACCATTCTTGTTTATAGGAAAAGATGAATTCTGGGTGGGATTTTTTTTTTTGTTCCCTTGTCAGCCTTTCAAAAATCTGTTTCCCACATTTTTTTTAATAGATTCCCATTACAGCTCTTGAAGGATAAATCATTCTAGGTTCCCAGTTACAATCAATACTCAGCAGCAGTGTTATAGGGCAAGCCAGCAGAGTTTCCTGCTACTCTTGGCTATAGACTGGATCTTTAACATAAGACTCACACTCTTAGGGCATCAGCAAATGGCTTATAGCTAATTATAGGGCAAATAGGATCCTGTTGGAGCATTACTCAAAATACTGAGAAAAGGCTCTATCCTTAAGTTGACCAATTTCAACCACATATGGTCTAAAAGACCATCATGGTTATACAAATTTCTTGAAAAGCATCACCAGGTTAAAGAAGAGAGATCAAACTAATATCCAAGCTCGGGGCAAGGCAGGCAAAGCTCAGCCATCATGCATGTGTCAGACACTGGACACCAGCTCCTATGTGCCTCTTCTTGGCCAAGGAGGAGGCTACAAGGAACAGGCCACAAATTTGTACAAAACCAGGCTTTGTTAATCCAACAGCTTTCTGCGGTCATGCAAACAAATATACTGAGCATGCACCTATTCTGAAGGCTCATTTTCACAAATAATATTAGGAAAAAATCTCCTAGCTAAACAGTGTTCAAAACCAGGATTACTAATTAAGTTAAGAAACATTATCTCTCAATGCTATTTTGTTTGTCATTTATATTCATTTTAATTTGTGAGTCCGTAATGTCATTTGTAAGACAAGCCCATAATTTCCTGCTGGCTGTTATAGGCATAATTGCAAAAAATGTGAAAGCTTCTTCTCTGAAACTCTTGATCATAAACTAGATTTTAATATACTGACTATAAGTTCAATGAGCAAAACAAGAAAAAATACTTTTTTTTTTTTCCTAGCACGGTAATATTTACAGCCTTCTTTTACTATTTATCTTAGCTTTAAACACATTATTTTACTATGTATTTACTATGTATTTTACTATGCATTCATGGCATACAACATTTCACAAAGGTCCAGGTAGCATCAAGTTAAGAATAATATCCTCCTTTTTTGGTAATCCTTCATTAGAGTATTCTCAAAACTACCATGAGTTCAAAAATCAGCTACTATTCTGAAAATACTGTTTTGATCACCAGATTTTGGGTTGCCATATTATTTCTGCTCAGAAAGCAATTGGAAGCAGGTGTTGCTTTCTGACACAGCCTGAAACGAATGCACTCCTTTGAAGTGAAGTGTACAGGCGTTTTAACTGTGTACAGCTGATAAAAGCACCCACAGACATGTAGAGAAGCTAACAGGTTTATTTTACTAATGCCAAGGCTGTCCTGTATGCTTAAGTTATTCACTAAAGTGACGTATCACTGCGTACTGAACACGTGTAATTATCCTGCATCCTTTATAAATGCAAACCGTGTATTTATTAAACATACAAATATTTTTAAAATTGCATTGGCAACTGAGTCATAAGGGAACACCTTATTTATTACTGCATTGCTACTGGAATCATAGAAAAAAAAATAACAGCAAATTTTAAAATTACACAAAATGAAGACTTCTTATATCCTGCCTTCATAAATGTGAACTATAAGACTTGAATGCATCCATTTTATGTGATTGGTCCCTACCTGATGTTCGGGTTCTCTTCATCTGACACTTGATTTTGCCTGATAACTTGTAAATAGAAGTTTGCATGAGTGGCTGTGCCAGGCTGCACAGCAGGAAGCAAGCAGTGGGGCAGGCAGGCAGCTCAATGGCTGCTCCAGCATAAGCCCAAGTAACTGAGGGTCACTGGGTCAAGCAGAGGCTCAGCAATAAACTCTCTCCCTCCTGCTATGGTCTTCTTCCTTGCCCAGGAACTGTGCATGTGCACACAAGTTCTGTGACGGAGCCCAGACAAATTTAATTTGCAAATGGGTATGCAAATGTATGCCATGTCAGAGTGACACATCAAAAGTTCAAAGCTGAATTTATGTTTAGGTTTGTATTACTTATCAGCTGCAATATATTGAAGAAGTCTTTACTAGAAAGCTTGAGGAGGGTGTACAGCTTGGTTCTGCTACTGCATGTGATGGGAAATTAGACAGTAAAATTATCTTTAATTGATAGCCTGTGGCTTTGTTCCCAGCTATCAGAGGAAAGATTACTACTGTGATTGCCCTACAGAAATTATGCTTGTAAAACTTCTTGGAATATTCAAACTACATAAGATGCTTACGGCTTTACTTCTTAATCCATGTGCAGCCATCAGGTCACGTAAGGAAGGAGAAGAAAGATCAGTATTTCTTCTGCAAGATAGAATTCATTTTATTTCTACAATACTTTGACATCCACATCTCAAGCTTTGGTTTGGACTTAATATACGTTGTGTTCTTTTTGCTGATGCTCAGAAGTCTACATTCTACTTAGATGACAAAGTTGCCACCATATAAGTTTCTCTAGATCCTGAGGTGGAATGAGAAACCTGTTTGGACAAATGCCCTTTGAAAGTGTTGAGTGCCCCCCAGCTTTTTGGGGGCACAGATCTGCTTTAACTCTGTTCATACATCTGCAATTCTCTTTATTTCTGATTATTTCTTTATTTATTATTGTCACTCACCATCAGTCTGAGATTAGAATGAAGTTCATTTTAACCATTTTCCCAATGAATGATGCATGGGTGATTTTTAAGGCATCACAATCATTACTGATGAGACAGGGAATTTCTGACCTCCTTCCAGCCATGCTTTTTCCCAAGCGATCTCTGTGCATGTTCCCCAGTTGTGGAGCTAGGCAAGGCTCAGATCACACTGCAGTACAGAGAAGCCCCAGAGTCCTAACTCCTCTGAAGTCATATCCATCCACAATTACTACTTTTCCACATAAGTTCTTCTAATCTACGGTTTCTCTGCAGACTGCTTTCAACAGATACACGGGCCACAGCCATGGCCACTGGCCACCAGGCCCTATGACATCCCATAGACTGCAATTTTCCCAGGCACTGATAGACCATAAAACTGGCTTGACTAACTCCCTAGGGCAGTGCTCCAAGAGGCCTGCTACTACAAGAACCTCTAGGAAGACAGTGGAACCATCTTGTTGCTGGAATGGCACTAGGGGGCTGAAGAAGACCAGAAGACATATCCCGATGGGCCTTCTCCTTCAAGCAGACAAACAGTGCTGCTGGAAAGCAGACGTTCTCTCTCATCCAATTCCTGCTTCACACCACTGTCACAGCCCACTTAGCAATATTAGGAAGCAAGCACAAATCCAAACAACACAGCAATTTCAAAGTGCTGGTGATAAAACTAGGCTTCAAGATTCAGAATTTAAGCCATTTGTATAATTCTTGCTCCAGTTTTTCTAGAATTCTCATCTTCTACTTTCACACAGCTGTCAAAAACCATCTGGATTACAATCTTCCGTTGGCAAAGAATAAAAACAAACAAACAAGAGCCTCTCATGCACTCATTTATGGGTACTTCTAATATACTCACACATTTTACTAGTTAAATCTCTAAAATGTTATTTGTTGTAAAACTCTAAAACTGAAGCTAAAAATCAAAGGAATGTGATTGCAGATGGGTAGTTGTAGAAGAGTAAAACCAGGATCTGTTTGTAACTTTGAAGAAGCTGTGTCAATACCAGTCTGTGAGAGTTCATCCTCTGACACACTACTCCTTATGCTGAATACTGACTTAATGAACAGGATCATTCTGAACAAATTAAGTCATATTGAAAAACTAAAATGACTATACCAGCGTAATTCTTGATGACATGGGATGTATCGGTAACTAGGAGTAAATCTTATGTTATGGCATCCAATACAGACATGATACCTTAAAACATTCTTGGTTTAATTGGCTTCTATGAAGAGAAATATTTACATGTGTATGTATGACACCAAAGTTACTTCCAATGTTTTAATGAATATTTGAAAATAATGGCATTCTTGCAAATTTGTATCTCATACCATCGTTTG